TATATATATATATATATATATACGGCCCGGTTTCGTGGCCACTGGGTTTTAGTGGCCACGGAAGCCATTGTCCGGATTCAGACACCTACAATGCTCCGTTCGTAAAATTGATGATTCCTACCCCCTCCTAACCCCCCTGGTAAATCCCCCTGCCCAGTCCCGACCGCAACACAATCCCCCCACCTACGTCAATTGCACCCCACAATTTTAGTTGACTTTGAGGTCAAAACTTTAGACTTTAAAGTCAATTATACTTGCGGGGTGATGAGTTGGAGTCGGGACTGGGTAGGGGGATTTACCGGGGGGGTTAGGAAGGGTAGGAATCATCAATTTTACGAACGTAACATCGTAGGAGGACTGTGGCTTCCGTGGCCACTAAAATCCAGTGGCCACTGAACCCATCCGATATGTGTGTGTGTGTGTGTGTGTGTGTGTATTTTGGTTCAGGTGAGAATGCAATCTAATGAAAGAAATAAGAATGAATCTGGTGCAATAGATTGAGAGATCTAAGGGTTAGGATTGCATCAAAATTAGGTGCACCAAGATGGTTTGAAAATGCATCATGTCGAAATGCACCATAATCCTTTGAAAATGCACTATCTCAAAATTTGAGTGCAGAATGCAATCTGAGCCGCACGATGCATTAGATCCAAAGACCAGATTTTATTCTTATTTCTTTCACCAAGGTGCATTCTCACTTGAACCAGCCCGTATATATATATATATATATATATATATATATATATATATATATATATATATATATATATATATATATATATATATATATATACGTCTTTTGAGTTTTGAGTAGCCAATGGGTATATCATATTTTAAATGAATATATAAAACTAAATAACTAATAAAAATAAACAATTAAGTGCATAACCCATCGGGTCAAACCCGACCCGTTCTGACCCGAAAATTTAACGGGTCTTCAGGTTCGGATCGTTTCGGGTTCGGGTCGCAAAATCAATGTTCAAAACCCGCTAATTTCGGGTCGGGTTTCGAATTAGTAACGGGTAGTAGCTATAAATAGTACTCCGACAAGACACATAATATATCACCCGTCCCACTAATTATTCAATTCTCCCTCATTCTTTCTTATTGTCCTTTAAGAAAAAAATACTGTAGAAGAAAAAGAAGAAAAAAGATCGATAATGGTGGGTGTTGCAGACACAAGCAAGGGAGCAAGGGAATGTGACGAAGAAACTCATCAGTTCCGCACCAGAAATGTGACCGACAATAATGAATATGAAGGTGACGACGACGACGACGGCCCACACACTCCCCCCGGCTCCCCTCCACCGCCTCCCCCGGACGACCAGGATGACTAAGAGGCCGCCGGCGGCCGGGAATTCATGCGGCCTCATTCTATATACTTGTCCTCCCTCCCTCCCTCCCCTCATATGCATGCATTAATCGAGTCAGTTTAAACGTACTCTTTTTTTATTCGCAATGGAGTCACTCAAAGTTGTTTGAGTCAGTCGGTTGAAATAATTTGTGGGATTATGCATGGGATCCCATCGATCTAAACACCTTTCCTGCATGAGTCAGTTTCTCTTTTAATATCGATCTGTTATTTCCCTTTATTTGTATTAGTGCGTGCACTATTTATACTCTTACCAAGTTTATGTTAAAATAAAGGAGGAGAGACATATTAAGATCTACTCATATTTTTAGAGATTCTCTACCTCACTCTCACTCACACACACACACACACACACACACACGCACTTAGAAGGTCTCTGGGAGAGATTAACTTATGGATAAAGTGGTTTCTACAAAAGCTGAAAGCAAAAGCAGCCCCATACCTGCTTCTCCCAAACGGTGTTCTATGTCGTGGTTGTGAAAAGCAAAAGCTGACATGTCAAACAGAGTAAAACCACTTCTACTCAAAACAGAAGCTAAATTATTAAAAGCAACACACTGCCAAACACCCTCTTACAATACTTTTATATGAATACGAAATTATATTCATATTTCATCATCACATAATTGTTTCATTTTCCTCTTATGTGTACCATATAAATTTGTTACTTATTAACTTATAAGCTAAACTCCACTATTGATCCTTCAATTTTATGAGTTGTGCACGATTTGTCTTTAAAAGTCCATAAATAGTTCTTCAACGTTATGTGTTATGTACGATTGGTCCTTCAAGTTTCAAAAGTTCATAACTAGTCCTTCAAGTACATGTCAGCCCTCCAGATGAGGTCCTTTTGACGGTAAACGTTAAAAGCTAAGTGGTGTACTAGCTCCATATAATACGGAGTAGTCGTACATAGTACTTAGAATTTACTCGTATTATATGGAACTAGTATTTCATTTAGTTTTTAGAGTTTACTGTCAAAAGGAGCTCATCTAGAGGGCTGACGTGTACTTGAAAGACTACTTATGGATTATTGAAACTTGAAGAACCAATCGTGCACAACTCAAAAAGTTGAAGGATTATTCAAGGACTTTTGAAACTTGAAGGACGAATCATGCACAACTCATAAAGTTGAAAGACCAATTGTGGATTTTAACCTAACTTATACTCTCTCAGTTCCTATTTTTATTACAAATTTCGAAAAATCTAACAAAGAAAAATCCTGAGTTTTTTCAATTCATTTTATTTAAAGATTGAGACGTAAGTAAAAAAAATAAAACTTACATATTTAAAAACCACATCTAATGTTTTACTCCCTCCGTCCCAAAAAGAATGTTACATTTCATTTTTTGCGCATCACAAAAAGCATTGCTACTCACATCTAAAAATTCTAAAATTTACCATATTTACTCTTTATTATAAGATGAAATTGTTTTGAAAGTTTTTTTGGCATTTGAGACGATATAAAAGTGTTTTAAGGGATGCGCAAGAAAATGAAATGTAACATTCTTTTTGGGACGGAGGGAGTATAAAATAGAGATGATAAGAATATTTTACTTTATAAAATACTCAATGAAATACTCAGATTCATATATGTCAGAATGGAATATTTTAACTAAAATGTTGACGATCGGTCACTATCGAAAAGCCAACCGGTACGATATATAAACTTATCGGTCAGAGTACGCGACTTCACGCAGGTGGCCTTCTGCCCCTTCAGAATGAATGGCCGGAAAACTTACCGGGTAGGTTACTATAGTGTGAAAAGTGTCGGCACGAATAGCTCCAAAGTCGGTTGGACGATAGTGGCCAATTTCAACGAAAGATTGCGAGAATATTCCAACATTTTTTAGTTGGGTGCTACGCACCAAAAGAGGTATCATCAGTACAAGATGACAAGGGAATATGACAAAATGCTACGGGACAAGAGGAAGTCACCTCGCGTCGTCTGTGAACGTGGGCTGATGTGGATGCAAAACGCTCTGTCCCCTCCATTTCCCTATAAATACCTTTGTAACCCTCAAATGGAGGAATCGGAACTTTATCTCTCTAGAGCATATTGTGTAATACATCCTAGTACTCTTCTATACACTTAATAGCAATCACTACAAGAAAATGCCAAAAGAACAACGGAATATGACGACAGTACACGTTTCGAAATTTCATAAATATTCCTTCTGGTATTCAACAACCTCACTCCAAATTCAGCCCTTCAAGTTTCAAAAGTCCATAAATAGTCCTTCAAGTATTCAGCAACCCTCCAAATGCAATCCTTTTTACAGTACACGTTAAAAGCTAAACGGAGTACTAGTTCTATATATATAACTTCCGACCTAAAATAGGTACTTGATGCAACTAGCTCCATATATAACTTCTGTCTCGATGCCAGATGCAACTTCTGACCTGCAATGAGTGCACGGTGCTAGCCACGTCCTCCGAGCAGCGCAGTGTAGCGAGTCTTTTTCTCCCATTGTAAAGGCTGGGGATAATTTTACTTTTAAAAGGGTTCAATTTGTATAGTAAAGAATACAAAATTTTGATTGAATTTGTAGAAACCCATTAATTTCATATATGTAAAAATAATCACATATGTATAGGTACAAGTACTTCATAGTATATATACGAAAGTAGTAATCTGTTTATCTTTTGACGTCTATCGTAAAAAGAATGAGTTGGTATATGGTACATCCGGATGTACCTAGAAATAGGTACATCCCGGTAGTACTCATTCTGAAATAAAGTTTTACTCATTCTCGTACAAATATAAACATTTATTTTGAAATACGTAGTACTCATTCTGGAAAAAGTAGTACTCATTTTAAAGTAAAGAAGTACTCATTTTTACACATTTGTTTAACATAATTATAATAAATAGAGTAGTGTTCATTCTTAAAAAAAACAATACTCATTCTCAAATAAGGAAATGTTCATTCTGAAATAAAGTATTGTTTAATTTTTTCACAATTAAAAAGATCAGTACCATCATTAACTTCTTCCTCTATTCGATTCGTTCCTACTCATTTATACTCTCTGAGCATGGAGAATTTAAAACCCAGGTTTATTCATGTTTGTATTGAATAAGAATATGATAATTCTCATAAATGCTGGTACTCCTTCTCAAATCTGCTGGTGCTCATTGTCATATACGGAGTATAATAGTTCTCATACATATGTTCTGGGCATGGAGAATTTATACTCTCTGAGCATGGAGAATTTAAAATCCACATTTATTCATGTTTGTATTGAATAAGAATATGATAATTCTCATAAGTGCTGGTACTACTTCTCAATTCTGCTGGTGCTCATTGTCATATACGGAGTATAATAGTTCTCATATATATGTTCTGGGCATTGGATAAAAAATTTGCAAAATTTATAAAAATACCAAGATGTACCTAAAGGAAGATACAGCTGGGTGTACCATATAATTTGCCTAAAAAGAATTGCATTTGAAGGTTGAATATTTGAAGAACTAATCATGTATTTTTAAAATTTGAAGGATTGTTAGGTTATGATTGAATGATTTATGGATTTTTAAAGATTGAGGTGTAAAAGGGTGTTTGACGCATATGAATGTCGTGGGTAATGACTAATGAGGCATCTTCACATCTATCGTCTTCATCGAAGGAATACCGATGCTCAATCCTTTTGCTCGTGTCGTTTAGGGCGTATTGCCCTTTAAACACGCAGACATCCAGATTCCATCTTCGAAGTCCTTCACAAACCCTAGAAAGGGAAAGGCTCCTTTGGAAATTTGTTTGTATTGGTCGCAAGATAATTCGTAAGTGCTTATCACTCTTTAAATTATTATTGTTTATTTCATTGTTTCAATTCGCTTTCTCGTAAATTCAAAGCTTTAAAATGTAATTTAGAAGATCGGAATTTGTTTGTTCGGTCTTTATGCATACCTGTGATTTTCCCACTTCATGCCTCAGTTACTGATTTTCTTGTTTGGATTCATAAATGGCATGTAGATGGAGAGGAATGTAATTAAGAAATCTCGTGTTCATTCTCCTAATGGTAGTACAAGCGAGGAAGGCCTCGTGGAGAAACTTCCTGTTGAGATTATTGGAGAGATATTGTCTCGGGTAGGAGCTGTACGAGATGTCATCAGAGCTTCTCTTACTCGTCGCAAGTGGCGAGAAGCTTTTCGCAAGCACCTTCACACACTCTTGTTTGACGTTTCTGATGGTGATCCTGTCTACCATGAACTTCCTACGCCTGACTTGGAAGTGTTGATCACAAAAACGTTATTTCAAACGAATGGTGTGCGAAAACTATCCATTGCAACTCACAGGCACAAGGTTTCAGCTGTTGCAGCCTTGGGCTGGTTAATGTTCACAAGAGAAACCTTGTCGGAGTTGCTTTATAGGGTTATCACTTCGCCCACTATTAGTGTTCTTGATATATGCGTAAGGCGGAAACTCAAAACATTGAGTTTATATGAAGTAAAACTTGTCGGGGTTGAACCAGTCTTCCATCGATTCCCCTGTCTGACATCACTTTGTCTAAATTATTGTTGTATTTCAGAAGAGGATTTAAACCGACTCCTCCTGGCTCTTCCCAAACTTGAGTGTTTGGAACTACGTAGTCACGAATTTGGACTAGTAGATGAGTATTTTAATGAAGAAATAACTGTCAAATTGTGTTTACCTACATTAAAGACTCTTCTTTTCAGTGGTGTCGTTGTATTTGAACTTATTTTGGAGACCTGTGATATTGGATATTTGCATGTGAACGACTCTTGTTTTGGCATATTTAAGGTTCATGGCAGTAAAAACTTGAGGCACCTCAAGATTTCTAAATCACATTTTTCACTTCTTGAAATTGAAGAGGGTGACAATCTAGAGATTTGAGAATTCGTCACCAGTCATGTCGTTCAGTCAAATTTGTTCCCGATGAAGGTTCAAGCACCAAAGTTGAAAATGTTTCGAATTTGGCGTTTTATTGGGGAACGCATGAGATTTTACGGAGATCCTACAATAATTGTTGATGGGTCCGAACTAGTTGTGGATTTAGACCAAATTGCTGTTTGTTCGCCCCAGCTCAACCATCTTTCAATACTCTATGATGTAGATGAGCCTGTCAACTATAACTTTAGAGGATTGTCTCCATTGGAGAATGTGGTCATCTTGGATGTTGGATGGGAATATTTTAATTGGGATTGTATTGTTGACTTCACGGAATGGACAGAGAAGGTGCTGAAGTGCTGTCCAAATCTTAGGAAGTTGATTGTCCACGGGAAGGTTCTAAAATCGGAAGATCCCGAGTATTTGATGAATCTTGCAGAGCACACCTCATCGATGTCTGAAATGTTGAGCAAGTATCCGCATATAGAAGTGAAGTTTACATACAATGTTGAGACCTTTCAGAACACACCTCTTCAGTATGGCTTCGGAGAGGACTGGTGATTGGGCAGGCAGAGAAGGTGCTGCTTCATCCTTGTCCCAAATGTTAGGAAGTATCCGCATTTCGACTTCTACATCAAAGCTGGGAGATTGCTGCTGCCAACCAAACCAACAGTCCCAATTTGCATATTAAAGCAGGTATATTGAATCTTCTATTTAAGACTCTTCTTTGATTTAAGACTCTTCTAGGTTATAATCCTTTTTTTCCGTGAAGCTTTTATGTAACATTTTGAACATCTGATCCTGAAAATTTGATATCTCATTTCTTGAAAACCTTGTGCTTTTTTATTGTGTATCAGTCATCAGTGAAATCAAAACGTTTGTGTTGTGCATCAAAAATTGTTAATTTTAAAAAATGTGATGAGTCCTAGCAATCGGTCTATTTAGGTATCTGCCTATCTTCCTACTTTTTCTAAAAGTGCAAACTAAAGTATTTATTTCCTTTTAAGAGTACTGGTGCACGAAACAATACAATATGATTTGGGTTGAATTTCGTTTATCCTTGGGGTTATTTTTTATTTTATTCATTTATTTATAAAAGTAATGAACCTATAAATTGCTAACAATAAATTAAGAAAAATATATATTTTCAAATGGTTTGTATTCAAATCGTTTGATACAATATGATTTTTCGAGTAAAACCATTCGGTACCATTTTTTTTAAATGAATGATGTCATTTAATACCAAAGAATACTATATAATACGGAGTAATATCATATGACATTGGTATTAAATGATATCGTACGATTTGAAAAAAGTATGAATTTTACATACACAAAAATTGAAAGGACTTGTCACAACATCTTGTCACAATATTTTGGACAATCAATCTACAATAATCTAAAATCTTACATATGTTTTTCCAACTTTAGAGTGTTTGGGAGTGTGGTGACTTCTTTGGTATGAGTAAAATAGATTGTTACACTCAAAATTATATTTTGGTACAGTAAATAGTTATATTTTTTACTCGAAACAAAATTTATATCTTTTACTTTTCAAAAAATATGATTTCAATTTGACCATAACCGTGTGAATCATATACTCCTATTATATGGCTTGAGCCAAAAGATGGAATTCAAATTGATTCTTATTTTATGTTCTGGTTCATATCCTATTATATGAATCGTAATAAACAGTTTCAGTTGTGGTTCATTTAATGTTGTACGCCCTCTGTTTCGGTGTTTTCGTCCACTTTCATTTTGACACAAATCCAAGGAGGGTGTTGAGTTGATTGAAATGTCTCAAAGCCCTCCAAATCTCAAACTACTATGTCTTCATCTTCAACTCTGCACCCTCCTATCTTCAAAATTTATGAACCCAAGCCCCTCCCAATTACAAATTTGCCCCGGCATTCTCAAATCAGCTTCTGACCTCGGACTCACCATCATGTTTATCGCTATTCCATCAAGCTATTTCTCGTGATGGAGCCACCTTGTCGTTGCTTTGCTGCCTTCCTTGGCGTCGCGTTGCTGCTAGAACGAAGATGGCGCTAGCCGATGTACTAATGTTTAGCAAGGATTTGATTCCGAGAATCTGATCCCTAACATCAGCAATGGAACATGGCACTAGTCCATATCTTGCGATGTCCAGACCCTTAAATTACTGATTTATCTATTCGAATTTCTGGAATGCAGATGGAGAGGAATGTAAGAAAAAAGTCAAATATTTGTTCTGGTAATGGTAGTACGTGCCCGGAAGGTCTTGTAGAGAAACTTCCCCTTGAGGTTATTAAAGAGATTTTGTCTCGTGCAGAAGATGCAAGAGAAATGATTAGAGCTTCTGTAATCTGCAGCAAGTGGCTTGAAGCGTATCGCAAACTCCTTCATACACTTTCCTTTGATGTTTCTGATGATCTATCCTCAACTTGGAAATGTTGATCGCAAAGACCTTACTTCCACCACTCTGTTTCCGTAGGTTAACAGTTCTATTGGATGACAAGCACGAGTTCTCCGCTGTTGCATCTGTGTGGGCTGGTTACTGCTCACAAGAGAAACATCGTCGGAATTGTTTCATAAGGTTAGCACCTCTTCCAGTATCAGTGTTCTTGATATATGTGGAGGGTGGAATTTGGAAACCTTCAGTTTATGTTTCTACAAAATTAGAGGGGTTGAACAACGGGGTTTCATAGATTTCCTTGTTTCACATCACTTTCTCTAAAACGCGTCCGTATTTCAGCAGAGGACCTAAACGGACTTCTTTTGGCTTTACCTAGAATCGAGCATTTGGAACTCACAAAGATTGTCTTAGGAGTTGTAGTTGATGATGACTGTCAAGAAGATGTAACGGCCATGCTGCATAAAAGTACTTTGAAGTCTCTTTTTCTTAAAGATCTTCAAGAATTTGTGGTTATTTCGGAGAATGGTGGCATTGAGTATTTGCATGTGGAGGACTGTATTTTTTGTTCATTTTGGGTCGTTGGCAGCAGAAGTTTGAGGCAGTTCAAACTTCCCAACTCGGAGTTTCGGCTTCTTGAAATTGAAGAGGGAGATGATCTAGGGAGTTTAGCAATCACCGCGAGTTTAGCAATAACTGTGGTTTTGAACAAATGGCTGTATGTTCCCTGCGACTGAGCCATTGTGCTACTGGTGCATTGTCCATGCCTTTTTGTTACTGCGAAAAATTCCCTGTGGGGTGAAACGTGGGGAAGTATCTGCGTATAGAAGTTTGCATCTTAAGCGGGTAAATTGGATCTTCTATTTAGGACTCTTGTTGGTTATAGTCCTTCTTGGCCATGAAACTTATATGTAACATTTTGAACATATGCTCCTAAAACTCTCATTTCTTGAAATTCTTGTGCCCTTTTATCTATCTATCTATATGATTGTCTAGCAGTGAAAACCAAAATGTCTCTCTTGTGCATCAAAAATTCTTTATTTTAATGAAATGTGACGAGTCGTTGGGAGTTTCTACTTGGCGCGGGTAAATCGGTTTGTGATTTTCTTTATAAAAAAAAAGATACGGTGTAAAAATACGTATTTTTTTTTTGTTTTGGTTCAGTTTTAGAGGTATCAGGCCTGGTACATGTTTAAGTTTATATTTCCAAGTCAAACGATTTTTGTTTAAAACTTGTGTTTGGTTTTGGGTTGAATTTCGTTTTGTTTTTGGGTTAATTGTTTGTCTATAAAACTAATCAAAGTAGAAATTGCTATAAAAATAAAATAAGAAAATGCAGTATACCGAATAGATAACCAATAGCAGCAAAACAATATCAAAGACAGGTATAACAAAAAGAGTATCTCTTCTGTTCCTAAATTAACTCAATATTTCTCTATACTCATAAGTTGGTCAATTGTTTCTTGACTCCTAATATCCATTGTGATCATATATACTCTCGGTTCCAAAATTTGATTATAAATTAGGATTAACGAGAGAAAATCTCTCATCTTTTAAAATTATTTTATTTACAAATTGATATATCGATAAAAAATACACATTACATCTTAAAAAATTACGTCAAAACTTTTACAAAACAAGAAATGACAAGAATATTTTATTTTATCAAATAATTAATAAAAATGTACAAATAAACAAAAATTGTAATCAAAATTAGGACGAGGGAGTATTTTAAAATCATACCTTGTTTGAGCTTAGAGAATTCTTGTTATGTTACACTCTCTATTCGAAGGTATTCGACCCATTTGGTCAAATAAGATGAATTCTGACAATTACATACAGAGTAAATAAAGATTGTATTCCATGTCAGTACGAAATTAATTTCATTAGATTTATCAAACAAAATACTTTTAAAAAATTATTCCATTATTGAAATATTCATACACAATCCATTTTTTATTTTCATTTAGTTTAATTAGAAAAAATATCAAACTGAACAAATGTATTGAACAATGGATACTTTTCCTCGTCTAAAATACCCTCATCTCACCCTTTTTGTACTTTTTTATGTACATAATATAAATAAATATTTTTAAAGGGTTAAGGAACAAAATAGGAGTAAAACATTGATAAAATCTCAAAATAGGAGTTGAAAGATAAAACCCCCAAAATAGGAGTTAATCACCCTTAGTCATTAACCATGGGCTAGAACGCAGATATCCCATCATCTAGATCACAAGCTCCATAAGCAATTTCAGAAATATCCTTATTGGCGGTAACCCCAACAATTCATCACCATCAACTTTGTTACTTCCTTCTAAATGCTAGGACCTAGCAATCTTTATAGCCAACCTTGTTTTTTGTGCATTTTTTCGTGGCCGGTAGTAGTTAATAGCAGCAAGCGCAATGACAGGATTTGCTTGGGTGAACTGCACCCGTACCTTCTCAATTGCCGTAGATATGCGACCTTTAGCAAATCTACTTTTTCAGGATAAGGATGACCATATTAGAGAATGACATGAGGGAAGCTTGTGGCGGCAGTGATTTTGCCGTTGAAGAAAATCCCCTTTCTAGCGTTTGCAACCGCGTGCAGAGAGCTTCGGAAATCCACTCGAAACTTAGGATGCCAAGGCGGGGAATGGTGGCCACCGCTCTAACAAGCTGCCCGATCTACACATCCAAAGCGAGGCCAGAGATCGACAAAATCTATCACCATCACACTCTACCACCATTTACCGACACCACCATCACACTGTAACGCCCCAAAATATACCCTAAAATTTATTGAATTAAATATTCAATTAAACAAAATTTGTTTTTATTAAAATAAATTGTTGTTGGGCTTTGGACTAAAATAAAATATATATTGATAAACATAATTGGGATAAATCTCATAGAGATAAATCCAACATGTTGATTTATTGTGTGATCTTGATTGGGAACCTGAGTAAGACCCAAATTAAGAATAAATGAAGAAATTGTTTATAATGTGAACCTTGAAATGATTTATTGAAATAAATCATGGAAATAAATAATATGAATTAAATGTGAGAACCTTTTTGAATAAAGGTCAATTAAACCAATTTTGACTCTGTCAAAGTCAACCACCCAAAAATATGATGTCGGAAAAAGTATAACGAATAAATATAAAAAATTATATCGTTAGATAGAGTTTAACTGTCTGATCGCAACGGTGCAATCGGATTTCAATTCGGAGAAAGTTGGACCAAAAAGTGTTCCCCGACTGGGACCAAATTAGTCCCAATCAGGGACTTGCGTTTGGAATCGAAGAAATATCGCAGCCCCCTCCACTGAGACGCAGAAACAGGAACGGATACATCATCACCTTGGCCTCTTCCTCCATTCTTTTACTATATAAGAAACCCAACTTCACCATTTCTTCACCATTCTTCATCAAATTCATTCTGAGAGATAGCCTTGAGTGTGGAGAACGCAGTGGTGCTGTCAATTTGGTGAGAGGTCGCCGGAACAAGACGTGGTGTTCGCCGGAAGTTTCACCGGAAAAAATATTCAAAACCTTCATTTACCTTCGAGGTAAGCCCGTAGATATATCTAGTGATTAGAATGTTCGTATAGATCGTTTTTACGTTCATAAACGGTCGTTTGGTTGAGTTTTATGTTTGACATGTTTGAAGAACTAAGAATCATAAACCAAGAAATTGTTGTTAAAGCTACAAATTAATGACTCTAAAATGATCTGTGAACATTGGGGAACATTCTTATATAATTTAATTGAAGTTTGCTAATTAAAAATGATAATGTTAAAAATTGAACAGAGGAAGAAGATGATGAACAGTGGCCGAAAATCGATTATTTCCTTCTTAATAATCGATTAAAAATTTGTTCAGATAGTAAATATATTTAAAAATAATAATAATCGATTAATTTAATCATAAAAATCGATTTAACGTTATTAATCGATTATTTTAATTATAAAAATCGATTATTATGAATTAATTGATTATTTCAATTGTAAAAATCGATTATTATGAATTAATGGATTATTTAAATTGTAAAAATCGATTTTTTATGAATTAATCGATTATTTATATTGTAAAAATCTATTAAAATTAAATAATTGATTATTTAAATTGAAAAAATCGATTTTTAGTAATTAATGGATTATTTAAAATATAAAAATCGATTTTTAGCAATTAATTGATTATTTAAAATATAAAAATCGATTTTTAGCAATTAATTGATTATTTAAAATATAAAAATCGATTTTTAGCAATTAATTGATTATTTAAAATATAAAAATCGATTTTTAGCTATTAATGGATTATTTTAAATATAAAAATCGATTTTTAGGTATTAATTGATTATTTTTAAAAATAAAAATCGATTTTTCTTAAGTC